ACTTACTTACATAATATTATACATATACACATTAATTTTTTTCACGATCTGATTCTAGATGGCTGAATGGCGGCCATTTTTGTGCTGAAAAATCATCAAAATCAAGCATTTATGGATGGTACATACATAAGACATTATGGGTATCTAATACACATTTTTTTACTTTTAAATCTGATTCCAATTGACTGTCTGGTGGTCATTTTAATATAGCCGTATCTCTGACATGATTTGAACAATCATGTTATAGATATACAGATGTATTCAAAATGGACGACCAGTGGCCATTTTCTTTTAGTTCATGCTGTTCCACAGCATTATCTCCCAATAAGTACATGATTAACAATCAGGTACAAGATGACTGAATGTCAATCATTTCTGTGTTAAAAAATCACCATAATCAAGCATCAGCTTCTGGATCTATATCTTTAACATGTTTGTGTTTGAACTATATTACTATAAACAAAATTATATATCTTAAGTTTGGTAACTAATGGGGACTGTGTCATGCATGTCTTGTTTACACTGAGGTAAATCTAGTAAACAAAATGGATGTGAATTGACCAGGTTTAGTACAAAGGAATAACAAAGTTACGTAAATCCGTAGCTACCATTGGCTGGTGGTGTCATCAAAAGTCAGCTTTTTGGCAACCATCTATGTAATAAAAAAATCCTACTGAAGTTTGTGTGAACTTTGGACTTGAACATATGTCCTGTCCTCACTTGACGGTTATATCTAATTCAAAATTGTCCTTTATCATTTCTGTAACGTTTGTTGCTGACCACATGGTTTTATTTTAGCACAGTCCCTCCATTGTGGGGAGGGTTTGTGATTTTAGCACAGTCCCTCCATTGTGGGGAGGGTCTGTGATTTTAGCACAGTCCCTCCATTGTGGGGAGGGTTTGTGATTTTAGTTACGACTATGTACTTGATTTGTTGCACCAGTTTACCTCACATAATGAGACCCGTTTTACAAAAAAAATTCTGTCCAAGGAGTGTTCTGGCTATGAGGAGGAATATAATGGTTCAACAGCTGTTCTCAGGATTTCATACATAACCCACATAATTGTACATTACCAACCCATACATTGCAACTGAGTAATTAAATTATCAGAGAAAAAGTTTGTATTTTAGTATTCTCTGTTTTCAGCAATGCTTATCAACATGAAGGTTTCTAATAGTATGTAAATTAATTGTGTTCTTATTTCAAGTGTATGGTTTGTATACAATCTAATTTAAGTACTGGATCTAGTATTTATTTATTTTTTTTTGTATATTTTTGTTAGCTCTGCTGTTGACTTTGTCAAGTGGAGCTTATCATATGAGTGATTGTTCGTCGTCGTCGTCGTCCGTGTCAAATTTTTACTTTTTCAACTTCTTCTTGAAAACAACAAGCCCTATTGCTTTGATACTTGGTGTATATGTACCCTGGGCAGACCTCTCTCAGATTTGTTCATTTCGTGATGATATCTTAAATTCTCTAATTTTATGAATATTTTTGGTAAAAAGTGATATTTTTGACTTCCTGTTGAAAACCACAAGTCTGATTGCTTTGATATTATATATATATATACTAGTACCGGTAGGTAATACATGTGGACTTCTCTCAGATTTGTTTATTTCGTGATAATATCTTCAATTTTCTAATTCAAAGTGATATTTACAAATTCTTGTCGAAAACAAAAATAATCATAAATAAATAAAATTATAAAAATTTTACCACAAAATTGTTGCCTATACCTACATCATATTTTATTAGTCCCCGTTCGGACGAAGTCCGAAAACAGGGACTTATGTTTTGACCTCCATGTGTGCGTGCGTGCGTGCGTG